TATCTACTACTACTACTAAATAAAATAAAATAATTATTTCTTCTCCTCCTCTCTCTCTCTCTCTCTCTCTCTCTCTCTCTCTCTTTCATCTATTCACATAAAACGGGAGAAGATAATTAATTCACTTGAAACACACGACGATTTGCAGTATGAGGGCTCAACTGCGAATCGGCAGACACGAGAGAAACAAAAATTCGTCATGGACGTGAGTTCGTGCCTTCTTCCAGGCTACGGATCTAACGATCGGCGATCGAGAGATCGTCGCGGTAGCGACGAGGCAGCTTGATATTCGTCGGATGCGCGGAGCCCGGCCGCGTATGAGCGCGGAATAAATTATCCCGGTACGTCGGTCTGGTCCCTCCTGCGACCTCTCTCTCTTTACCTCTCTTCCTTTTCACGTCGCGCGTCATTCCCTCTTTCTTCCTCGGACCGTCTCATTCTGTCCGCTCCCCGACGATCGCTCCCCGTTGTCGTTCGTTCATCCCTCTCCGTCTCGCTCGCTCCCACCGCCGCTGTATCTATAATGACCTCCTCGTGGTGGGACGATACCGGAAGTGAAGTCAGAACGGCGGAACCACGACGTTCACTCAATGGAAAGTTTGAGCTCCACCGGCGCGGGCTGTTCTAAGGTGGTTATACACGCTCGTTCTCTCGTGCGCGCGAGGAAAATCCGCTTCTTTCGAACTCGGCGCGCTCGGCATTTGCGCGAACGCGAGTCACGCGCGAGCAGCTCCCGAAGAAAAGTTGCGCGTCGTGCCGGTACTATCCTCGAGGAGGATCTTCGTGGCGTTTTCGAAGAGAGCTAATTGTGCACTCGCGAGCGAAAGCTTTGGGATTTAGGCTCGTTAATATTTGGTTGGCCGTTTCCACCGCGAGAGGAAAATTAAGGGAAGGGACAACAGGATCGGAGAAAAGTAATCCGAAGATCCAGGAGTAATAATGCGAACTGACTGAGGGACTGAATTACAAGTAGCTGGACATCGGTTTAATTTGGTGTGCCGTATTGGCCGGCGGAATTTCATCGAAATCGAACAAGAAAGAAAATTGGACGTGGATTTATTTTGTGAAAAGTGAATGATCGAATCAATTGAACTTTTCGTTATTGTTATACGGAAGCTGTGTTCCGCTCGAAGAGATTTCATCAAGCGATAGGTTTAGGGTGAAAGTGAGTGATAGATCGATCAATCAAGAGGAAAATGTGAATTAATAAGGGATAAAAAATCTAGGAGAAGCATCAATTTGAAGTTGCATTATCGTCGCAAACAAAATATGTTTTATTGTGAAGCGCCGGAAGTCTCGGGGAGCAGCAAATAACATCGTCGAGTAATCAAGGCAGCGGTTGAATAAATTGGATCGGGATATTACAAGAACCAAGTCGCGAGAGGGAGGAAAAAGGAGAGAAGGAAAAAGGACGCACACCATTAAGCTATGGCGTAGAAAAAGTTTACTCTGTGCGAAAAAGAGAGGAAACGATAAATTTGCGAGAGACATTGTACATTAACGTTCATTTCGGAAACAGTACGCGAAAAATTTTTAAGTACCGCATTCGTGATAAATGTCTGGAGTTTTTCATGTAGAAAATCGAAGAAAACGATCGACACTGTTCTGCAATTTTCTTCGCGAGGCGAATACGCTGGAAATTTCAGTTCGTCAGCACGAACTTTTTCGTGGAATATAAAACCCGCTGAACAACGAAAGTTATTCCATAGTCGACTCCAAATGCGTTCTCTTTTCGTGCGCAACCGCATGAAAAGTAGAAGAATTTTCACTGCGTCGAACAATAAGTATTTTCGCGTGAAAGTGACAAGATGATGACGGCCTTTGAGGTAAAAAAAAGAAAAAGATCCGTGCGATTTTCGTAGGCGAGACAAAAGGTTGTATGTGAAACGGAAGTCTGTCGCGAGGAGAAGAATGCTAATTAACCCAATTCCTCCCGAAGTTGCGTTAGCAAAACAGTTTACATATTAATTCGTTGTGTTATCATCCTGCGTTTCCTTAATTAAAGTGAAATCATTATATATCTCGCGTATCAATTACGGAAAAAAAAGATACATCATATCGATACAAATTAATGAATTTCAACAAGTGAAATTGTCCGGTCTTCGTGCGAAGAAATTAGCAAAACTAATTTGAGATAAACTGCTGCAACATCTTAATGAAGGAGAACTAATGAACTTTGTAATCTTATAAAGTGCTCGGCGTGTCCGGCGCAGCAGCTGATAGTCTGTCATCGCCGTCCTTCTCGTGTAAAACAAAGAATTTGCTGACGTACGGCGGAAAGGCTTTCAATTTAAACAAGAAATCGCATCCTGGGTGGTCCTTACCTTCCAACCTCCATCATCATCCGCACATTTTCTCTCACCGATCAGTGGCAATATACTTTCCTTACGATTTGCGGCCCAGTTTAAATTTTAAATCGTAGACTGACGATTATAGTAATCGACTATCTCGCCGACTATGGGCGAGAAGGCCTTGTCAAAGGACGAGACCATTATGTGAAGCGACACGCATCGAGTTGAGGAGACCCGGGGACCTGTCACGGGGGCGTCGATAGCTCGTTCGCTAGGGTGACCATCGACGGGACGAAAAGCAGGAGACTCGAGATACACTTGCGAAAGTATTCGTCAGAAATGGTCAGCCAACACGCGATGGCCACCACCGTCCGTAAAGTTAAGCAGGAGAATCGTCTTAGGCGGCAGAATCAGAGCCAAGGTATATACGCAAGCGCACGGTGCGGTGATCTTTCTAATGCACAGCTCGCGCAAAATGTGGGATTCATAAGCTTGCAAGCGGCTTTATCTCCCGGGGAGATAACCTTAATTGCGATCTAGTTGCACTGAGACGCGTATATCGCATCTCCTCTGCGGAATTAACGCGGAGTAGTTAGGACGTAGCAGAGATATAATATGACGTTAATAATGCAGTGTACATATGCGTGTTACGATCGTTTCTGCCGTAATTGCATGGAAAATATTATGCGACTTTAGTGCGTAAATCGTTGGGGAAAACGAGGAAGAGGTTGAGAAAGAGAGAAAGGGACATATTTACGAGCGTATATTTAAATTAGCGGGCATTAATCGTACTTTAGCTTTAGAAGCGAATTATCTTATTCATGGATTTTATGCACTTTGATATTTTATCGACTTAAAGGACCGGCTTGCATAAATATTACTGCGTGAAATTTTCATCGTTCTTAGTGGGAAATATAGCTTACGTTTCTTATTTGCGATATAAGCTCTTATTTACGAGTATAAGATATTTCTAACGTAGTTCTCAGTAAATTTATATAATACATAGCAATTTTCTAATCATATTTTTTATTTGAATAAGTTGTTTAATATACGTGTCACAAACATTTCAGAACATGTCGTGGCAATAAATATATATTAATATTCTTTTATACGCATACACATAATTTTCTTTTTAATATTCTTTTGAATCAAAGAATAATGACAAAATTGACATTAATTGTTAGAATGTGTAAAGACTTTTACTACAAGATTAGATAAAATATTCGCAATACGTAATTTCAGAAGCCAAATCGTCACGGCATTTGCATTGCATTTCGTAACTTCTCCTTTGAGATCTCGAGTGAAGGAATAATGAATTATTTTGTATGCTTTTGAGATATTATTCTAAAGTACTAAAAACGATTATGTGTTTCTCCCTACAGATGAAGAAGGGCCTTACAAGCCAGTGCCACCGTCGAAACCGGTGTCAAATAATCAGAAGGACGTTCAGCAGGACGAACATCGGGATCAGTCGGTAGCCGAACGTACGTCGTTGCGAACGACTTCCGGTCCGGAAAGGAGTAGCGTCGCGGAGGACGGGCAGGTTCGAAGCGCAGCCGGGCAGCCCTTCGCACCGGAATACAGAATGCCACCCTTGTACGGGGAGGAGCAGAGTTCGGGTCAGGCTCAACAGGCGGCTAGTTTGCAGACTCACAGCAGCAAATTTCCGGTAAGTGCGATAATGGACATGAACGGTAAAATTAAACGTAAACAGCGTCATTATTTTTGTCAATCATTTCTATGCCAGAATTTCCGGCATGTTACATGACATATTATGCAAAACAATACGTATTTTTTACTATTGATTTTTCCTACTTTTAGCATAAGAAAATAAAGGCTTGGATAAATTCGCGTGGAAATTATGGAATCATATTTTTATCATATAAATTTTATATACATTTTGCATTATATATTTACATTTTAATAAATATGATGAATATATGCGATAGAAGATAAAATAATGACTATTTTTGATATGAATAAAAGATACTTGAAACGGATAAAAGTCCAATCGAGTCGGATAATTAGTGACCCGCTCATTCAGCGAAGGTGCACTGGCTCCGGGTGAGTTCCAGTTCGGAAAGCTGAGCAAAGAAACTATCACAAGCATTATAAAGATGAATGCAATTTATTGATGTTATCAGCATTTTTCTTTACTTTAGTAAATATATGACATTATGATATAAGTATTGATAAAATTATAGTGGCCATATATTATCTTGCTTCCTTTCGAGATGATTCTACGATATGGAAATTAATAAGCCTCAAAGATAGGAAGCTTAAGATATAAAACGTTTTTAAAAAACTGTATTAAAAATTGGTTAAAATTGTAACAAAATTGGTTGATAATTTTAAACTCAAAAATAAACTATAAATATGGAAAATATAGAAAATTAGATTCTAATATTGCCGCGTCAAAATTTTTTTCATCAATAAACATAACAATTAATTCCACGTGTGTGCAATAGCGTAGAAGTCGAAAGTCGTCGAAATCACAGTGTAATGCGATGAAAATCTCTGTTTCGTGCGTAGAAAGTTTCTTTGCTCAGCTTTCCGAACTAGAACTCACCCGGAGCCAGTGCTTCGCTGAATAAGCGAGTCACTAATTATCCGACTACGAGAACGCGCAACACCTCGCTCGCCATGTCGACCATGTATGTACCAGGAACAATGAGACGAAAAAAAAACCGCGAGCGACACCGCGACGCATAATGAAGGCAATGGCGGCTCTAAATCTTTGCCGTCTCGCAGCAAACACTATTTTTTTCTGTGCCTTCTTACTCGATGCATCTTTTCACATTCCAGTCGTGTATTTGCTATTTTTGTAACATTTCTTCTTTTTGTTTCTTTTGTTTGCTCGCTTTCAGCAGTCTTTTATGTTGTAAAATTTTATTAAAATAGGTATGCTTTCCTAGCTGACATGCGCTTGCTTGTTTTGCGCTTTGAAAAATTAAAGCGTCTATTCAAAGAACGTTGAACACGCGTTGCTTCTGATAAATTAAATTCTGCATTTGGTAAATAGAGAGAATTTTTTATCATTGTTTTTGTATAACTCTAGATAATTATATTCATTCATCTGGGAGATATTCATATACTAATTTTTTTTATAGAAATTTATAGAAACAACATCGATATTAATTGAGACATACAATGTCTCTTAGAGTGACTCTTTAAATCATTTGCTGGCTTCAACGGAATGAATTCTAATAATTTGTGTAATCATAAATGAACTAATTAACAAACTACCGAGCGTTAATTTCACATGCAGCTGAAGTGTATTTCCATGTATGGATGGAAACATGTTTTCATAATCAAATGAATGTTTACAATGGCTGTACAAAGTATTATAAGTACTAAAAGGAAAGATTAAAAAATTTAAAAGCTTTATTTTTTGACTAAAAACTGCAGCTCTTTTTTCTGTAACGATAAAAATAAAAATAAAAATTATTAAAGAAGGAATAAAATAATAACAATTTATTTAATAATAATTGTTAAAAATTATTTAAATATGCTAACTAATGAAATGTGTTATTTAAATAAATCTTTATTATCTTTTAATTTTAATTTATCCCTATAGTAGAATACTTAATATGGAGAAAACAAAAAGACTAAAGAAGACTAATGACTTCTTCTGAAACTCTCTAATTTAAAGAGAAAATTGCTTCAGATTTATTAACAAATTCATTATTAGAACGAAAGTTGCAGGTTCTAGGACATTTAATACGCATCTGCGCAACAGTAAGTTAAACTTTCTTTCCTTCGAACGTATTTATAGCTGTCGTTGCTTATGCTTTCGATCGGACACTCATTAATTGTAGAAACTTCAGTAGTGTCGCGGCTTCCCTCTGGCGATTTCATGCAATTATCGAGATTCAGCTGCTGCGCCGATGACGCGACGAATGCGTGCGGCTCTCTGAATAAGGAGATTCCACAAGGCGCGTTTCGATGCCTCTTCTTGCGGGGGCCGGAGTTAAGCACGACGGAAAGGAACAAGTAGAATTCATGACGTTACACTTTATTCGGTATAAATGGTCGGGCTTTCTAGAATTACACTAGGCCAGGTTTCTTGAACGGAGTTAAGCGCGACGTTGGCGGATTCAATTGCCTCTACCGGAGAATCACGAGAATTGACGCCAAGTTTTTGTTGACAGATTGCAATTAAAATTTGTAACGAGACGAAATTTCTGTTATTATTTCAAATGGATGTTTAATCATACGTATTCCTCTATCAAAAGTATGTAAAATGTAAAAATTTGAGTGATGAGTTCTGAATGTGTTATCTCTCGCTTTATCTCGACCGTCAATTATCACCACGTCATTATCTCTCCATTGACGCCTGTAATTCATTTTTAATTTCTAATTTTCTCCATTGTCTATCAAAGAGTTATCTTTTGATTCTCGTCGCCTGACCTTAGTCAATTCCAGTTAATTAGCGGAACGTACTCGCGTAATCACGCGGCACGGATGGCGCGGTTGATCTTCCGCGTTCGGCGTTAGGAATTAGCACGCGGTCCATGGAGAAATCTTCGGTAACAGTTCGTTGTACGCTAGTTACGTTTCTTGGGAAGGTTCTCAGAGGCTCTCCACCGAGACAAAGGGGGCATCATACGCGCGTACCGTTCGCCGGAAGTCGGGAAGGAGGGCTTTACTCGCGATAGCCGTTTAGATACACACCGTATATTTCTCCGTAGGAAGAATCGACATGACCGCAGGTGAGAATAAAATCGGAGCAAATCCGCGTCTCACCCTTCGGTCTTTGCCATTTCAATCGGTGCCTTCATCACCAATTCTCTGCACCGATAGCTTGCGTGATGACGTCATGTAAATACACATGTAAATACACATACGCACGCACGCACGTACGCATGCATGCGTATGAATTTGCTCAATTAAGAAAAATTCTAAAAATGGCACGACCCCCATTATATTGATTGATTAGATTGTCTGATTGTATTAGCGTTAATTAACTTTTTTTCGTTGGACATTGACAGGCCGCGATCAATCTATATAATGTTTTAATTATACCAAAAACCTACGGTCTTTCTACGAATTAATTCTTCTTTGGCAGAGAAAGAGTAATTACATTCCCATCTCATGCTCGAATCGTTACTTTGTGCTTTATAACTTAAATGAAAATATAGAGGCTTCTACGTAATGAATTGGTAGACTAAAATAATTATAGCAAACTTCTTCTAATGAAATGAAAATGAGGTTTGAGAAATGGAAGAAATTTTGATGTTAGCTAATTGTGTCTTATACTTATTTGATTCTATCGTAAGTAACCGAAAGACGGATTAAAATTCTGAGAAAGTAAAAACCGTTCTGTTAGGGGAAATAATTAACTTTATTGTGAATAATTTTGTATGTTTCAGTTGTGAATTTGAGAAACGTCAAAGGTGTCGATTTAATTTAATTTAATTCGATATCGGTTAAAAAAATCCCTCAAACACGAAACGCACATATGTTTAATTGAGAGCTCAAGATTGAGGGTTCTGGAATGCCTGGCCACCTTGCGACCAATAATAGCGGTTACGTTCAAGGTTATTACCACTAAAGGAGCCACCCGTAAAAGACCGTCTTCCATCAAAGATTCAATGTCTTTTAAGTGCCGGGCGCAAGAACCGTAGTTAGGAGGAAATCCAATATCAGTGATGCAGGCATACGGTCGTTCGGGGTTCTATCACATCCTATTATCATCCCCGGAAGGTGCGAATCGATCGGTATTTTTATTCGCGAGCCTCACGCCCTTACGCATCACGTTACGCGCGTTTTCATGACGCCGTTCCTCTATTAGCATGCTTTATTTCTTCCGCAAAACATCGGCCACTCCGTCGCCGCTAAGCTTCTTTTATAATCCAGCTTTATGACGCATACCCCGCACGTGTGCGCGTGTGCCGATGTGTGACGTCACATTCCGTTGTCCACCCTTCACGGAAGACACCGCGGTAACTACCAGGTTTCTTTTTCGTAAAAGAAGAGAGATATGCAGTCGTTTGGATTACTTCCAAGAGAAAGAGCGAGCAAAGAAAACAGCAATGAAATTGTCGCATGAAGAAAATTACGTTGCGCCGCACATTCTTCAACTTTTCTCGATAAATCTCCTTGTTTTGTACCTCTCTGACGTGCTTAAAACATTAAATATTGTCGCTTTATTTCGCTTATTACCTTTTGTGCAAACAATCCGATCATATTTACTATGAAATATAGGGAAATTATAAGCTATCGATAAACGCATGTTTTCCTCGTTATTAATTTTCGTTTTTCGTTAACACGGTTATTGATTATATCGATTTCACAAATTAAGTCTTACATGAAACCAATTGATCTGTTTTTTTCTCAAATAATGCATGAATCATATATTAAAAAAGGATTTATAAATTATTAGAATAAATTATTACTATAATAATAATATAAATTATCTAAAAATTAAATAAATTAAAATTAAAAAAAGCATGTCTCTAAACACATTGATGATGAAGAAATCATCATATCTTTTTCGAGTCAATGATTTTAAATGATTTGTGAGAAACCAGACAACTCGTATATTTTATCAGATGTATTCGTTCATATATCAATGTATATATCGCGTTTACTCTATTATGCATTCATACATAATAAAAATATCGTTCGTATCTCGCTGTCAGAGAATCGCATATTTATAGGTATTCGATGTGTCCGAGACAAACGAATGCACTAACATCCTGACAATCCACAATAAATGTTTCGTTCTTCGCCTTCCTCCGAATCTTTTTCATTCGAATCATAGATCGAACGTCCTCGAGATTAGACTCCGAATGTTGCAAGAAACGATAGGGAAGAGCCCTCGGGGCTACCGACGCGTATCTTATCTCCCATACGGCGGGAGATCGATCATTTAAAGTACTCTTCTTGCGTATTGTTGTCCCGACGCGATCGGCGAATCATCGAGCGGGAATCGAACGGGTCTCGGGGAGGTAATCCTCTCGGTACAGGGAGGAACGTACATACGCGAACTCTCGTACGTGTACGTACGTACGTACGTATTCGCTAGCGTGATTATGCACGGGGCTTACCTATCCGCGTGCATTTATTTTCCGCGGCGGTGGCTCGTTTCATCACGCTTGCTTTCTTCTCGAGCTCGGCGTAGCCGGGGCTGCGGCCTGGCGCGGTGTTGCAGCCAGTTTAGTGTCAGTGACACCTACTCCGCAGCGCGCGCGTATTACGCGCACGCAACGCGAACGCGCACCTCGCGTACGGCGCGCGGCCGTGCACGCACTTTGCGTATCATCGTGCCGTGCGTGCGAACTCGCTTCGACACGGATGCTCCGCCTGGCGTGGACGGCGCGGCCGAGAAAGCCGGCACGGAAAATCTCCCGGCGCAATGGCGCGTCTCCGGGCTACCACATCGTCCGTTTGTTTTTGCTCTGTTTACTTATACGAGGCGAGAGAGCCTCCCCGATCGCGCTCGGTTGAGCGGCGTGAGCCCAAGAAAAGAAGCCTATCTGGCAGATTAATTTGCTTTAACGCGTCAATTATTCCCGCAAGGGATCGCAATTTGAGGAAATTGCAAGACGGGAAAAATTAGGGTGCAAAATTAAAAAGTTAAAAATAAGCGAGAAGCGTAAAATGGTTTTTATATACGCGCGAGGATAGATTTTTTTTTTTAATCTACGTATAATGTATAAGAATTTATTTTAATATATGAAATTGATACTGGCTTTATAATAAATGTATATTTTAAAATTAAAGCACTGAAAATTGCAGATTAAAAGCGAATGAAACTTGCATGGAAAGAAATGAATAAGAAATGAATTAAGCAATAACAGATACGTTATGCACAATATCTAAATTACAGTACTTTATATTGTTATTTAGATTATTTTAATTAACTATTTGAGGATTATTATTGAAAATACATAGCCAAAGAAATTGGTAGGTCTGTTTAAAAAAAAAAAAATCTGCATAAATTCGAAGTAAATGATAATCGTTGTTTCTTCCTTGTAGATAGAACGCGAGTTGATCCTGTCGTCAGGAGACAAGAATTCCAAGATTCCTATTCTTCACGAGTACAAACAGAGGACCGGAAGAGTCGCCATCGCACCGGATGCGCCGATCAAGCAGCAGGCCTGGGTTCAGGAGGTGAGTCCGATCTTCCTCGATAACTCACGGTGAATAAAACACACTGATTTCTTCTTTCTTGTCTTTTCTTCCGGACAATAGCCGCTAGCGTAACGTGAAGCTTGGGTCACTTTCTTTTCTTTCTTCATATTTCTCGCATATATTCTTTCTTCTTATATACGTTTCTCAACAATAAATGTAAGTTTTGTTACGTCCATTGTAATTGATAAACTTCTGACTGGTAGCTGCAATAACGAAGTTTTCGTCCCACTTTGGACGTCCCACTGAGGACGACTTTATTGTCCGACAATCATTACGAAATCCTGCGTTTATTAATCGGACGTCACGTGTGTGCAACATTACGTACACATGCCACCTACGCAAACGTCAGTAGGCGTCAGTAACACACGTGTCAGGCGTCCCTCTTTCCGGTTTTACACATTGATATCTTAAGGGATGAATGTGGAAAGTAATGTTGGGTCGAAGTATGAAATACAATTCCTTTGTTTATTTTTCAAGAGTCACCTGTCTCGATATAAATTTTTATTGTTTTTTTCCTCATCTTTTTATACGTATTATTTTATTTATACTTTTTAATTTTATATACTTTTTCAATTTCCTCCGTTTTATTAATGTTTTATTATCTCATATATATTTATATTTATTATATTACTTTTATTAAGAAATTCGCAAAGAAATTTTCCTACGATAAATTATATTTTTCTATTAACATTAATGTATTTAACATACACAACGTAACAAAAAAATTAATTTGATTAATTGATTTAAAAGTATTTTTTATTTAGAGTTTTAGGTTTTATTTAAAGTTAGGACTACAAGTTAGGATTTGTTATTAGTTAAAGACGAAGGAAACGAAACGTCTTCGTGATCTTACTACCTGTAGTAAATTACATCCTGCACGATCATCACCGGGTAAGATCCTTAACGACATATCATGAGAAACAGAGACAACTTTGCTGTGAAGGTTCCCTCGTATCGTATTGACGCATTCTCGTGTATCACAAAAACAAAATGATCTTAACAGATACGTCTGTAATATATGTAAGTATACTGCGAATCAGCCCTCTTCTGTTTACGAGATTGCGCACAAGGTAAATTGTGCAGTTATCGGTCCTCGGATAGTCGTTGGCCGTTTTCCATTGATCCTAGGATACTCGTGCTCGTTTATGGGATGCTTCGGGCGATCAGTTCTGAAACAGTGATGATGCAGCTCGCGTGCACTGCGTGTGCCAACGACGCAATAAACGCAGTTACTCTCCTTGGATATTGCGCCCATCTTATGATCGATGACCAGTTAAACTTCATCATTAAACTGTCCTTATACGCTGCGCGACGAAAAATTAATAAATTTTCTTATTAATACATTTTTATTTTTACTTTTTATCGGATCCCCGAAAGTTCTTCAATAAAAATGTGCTTATGATAAAAAATTTTCTCGTCGCAACTCTCGAGGTACGACCTTTAGAAAGATCTCGTCCTTATTTTTTTTCTCGTTGTTAAAATATTCTACTCATGGAGAATTGAGCTTGATGAGAAAGGAATACTTGAATACTCATGGATTACAATATAACACAAATATCAAGCGAGCGCATCAAAGGGATTGCCTTTTCGCGATTTCGCACGCGGCCGACGAGCTTGATACGCTCCGGCGTGCAGAATGGCCAACTTTCGTTGCCTTTCGAATTACTTAAATCTTATTTTACATAATACACGTCATCGCGCGAGACTTAATCAGTACCGAACGTGTTCGCGGCGCCGCGCCGAGCGGGAGGCGACCCACGTAGCTCGTAAACCTCCAATTTCCAACGCTCTCAGAAACTCCGGATGTTGCTAACTTCGAGGATTTCGCATAAGTAAATTTTTCTCTACTTTTGTGGAAGCCCACGTGCTGTAGCTTTCAGCCTTCTTTTCTCTTTCTAATGTCACGTACGGCCGTTTCCGCTTTGGCGCTACAGTTTCGCCGTGAAAGTTTCTCCTTTACTATGGAATCGCTGCGAATTGAAAAGTTCATCCGAAAAAGTGCATATATAAAAAATGCAAAATACAACCTTACTTTTCATTTCTCTTTATTCTTAAGAGACTCATTTTAATAAAAAAACAAAGAATTACACATAATTACATTTTTACACGTATTCCTTGCATTACAATTTAAAAAGGAAATGTCAAAGGAGAGATTTAGATTTTTATTTAATCTTATTTTAATAATAAGAGGACTGATGAAAAATAGATTGTCTACGTCCCTTCAATCTTGAGAAAAGAAATGTGTTCTTCAGAAAGAAATTTCTGTTCATATAATATGCGCGAATTGATTGGGTTTCCATCATTTATCTTTTCTTATCTTCTTCGATTTGGACGCACGAAGGTGCCTCCCTTTATAATATAAAAGGTGTTTCCAATGCGTCATTGGGGAGTCGTGATTTTTCGAAGCGTAGCGCGCCAGGTACGAAAATCTCGGCTTTTATCTCCCATACGGCCGTAATCCCGGCGTGGTATCAGCGTGGCCATAAGTCAGAAAGCCTTTTCCGTATGCGCGATGCGTGTCCGCGGGGCCCTATGCGGCCGTTGTTATTCCAGGCGCATCTCTTCCCGAGAACCGTAGGATTCAGTGCGTTAACTTTGAAATTCCCCGTGTGATCGAGGCACGCCGGGTTCCGTGGCCGTTAGCTGATGTCCGATGTTCCCCTTTGAAGGGAATCTTATTCGATCCTGGAATCTTATTCGATAACATATTACTTTACTTTACGACCGTCGTCCACGTCCATTATGCAGCTAAATCGAATTATATTCCACGTTATGTCGTAGTGTTCGTAATCTCATATCTTGCGACACGAGGAGTCTACCATATTAATTTAACGATGCTGTTTGAAAGAGGAAGAGAGAGAGAGAGAGAGAGAGAGAGGAGGGAGAAGAGGAAGAGAAGAGAAAGAATATACAATATACATAAAAGTTTAATTAGTAACTAATTAAGATTGCCGATTTCTTGGCTTTCATAATAGTAAATCTTTTGATCTTTCATATGGTTGCCCAAGTAGAAAAAAAGAAATTAGCCAGTAAGTGGCCAGAAATTCTGATCGAACGAAAAGAATTATTTTATCTTGTTTGATAATTTTTTCAGTTTTCAAATTCTTCGTTTCTAATTTTTTGTTTAACATTTACTGAACAACATAACTTAAAGAAGTTTTAATAAATTAAAGATTATTTGCTACAACAGGTTGAAATATTTTTATAATCTTTATTCTTCCGATGGAATATTGCTTCGGCCAATAATAGAATCTTTATTCTAATTTTTTGTTCGCTACAAGAGCCTGCGATTTACCGACACATCACTCGTTCGACATCTTCTTTAAGAAGGAAGACAAAAATCCCGTAAATCATGTCTTGACAATATCCATTTAGACTACGAATCTCTTCTATACTCGTAACGTAGCGGTTGACTTCTTGCTTGTCTGTGAAATTATATACCCGGGATAGTTTGACTTTGCATAATTTCATGACAGCTGGTCTGGAACTATGAACATTAAAATCGCGAGAACTTATTTGACTGAAATCTCCGCTTTTATTAAACGGATTCTCAGCGAGAAAGCCCGTTTTTGGAAACAAACTTTAGATGAGTTCCGCTTGCTGGAAGTTAGACGACTTTGGGACACTACTTATGTCGTAAATGCACGCTTCGTGCTATGAATTACTTCTTGAAGGGAACCATTTCTGAAGAACCGTATACGAAATTAAGATGTCATATCTTGTCTGGTGTTTCTTACTGCTCATTTTCCTGTGACATGGAAATAAAATGAGAAAGATTTTTATATATATATATATATATATATTTATTTATATATTATTATATATATATTTTTTAATTTATAGCAATAAATTAAATAGAATTTAATTATAAATTTTTTTCACTTTTTTAAGAATTTTGTAATATAAAATAAACTTAAAAGATTATTTTGATTAATACTGGATAATATAAAAAAAAAAACTGTCAATGATAAAATCATTAATTACCATTTTCGAAAATGATATTTAAACTTCCATTAAAATTTTTATATGAAGTAAAAGTTCGTTAGCATCGATTCACTTTTTAACGCGTCACAATATTTTTGGTGTGACCTTTCCTGGCTCACGGAGCTAACGGTCGCTTATTATGAAAGGTCGCTTATTAATGTATTTTCCCCATTATTTTTCAGCGTGCAAATTGCGCAGACAACTTTTCGCTAACACAAATTAATATGTGCTCGCACGTGGCAAATAATTTAATACTCAACTCACTAACAACCAACCTATTTAATTTTAATTAGACCTCACTTCTTCTCGCATTTAGATGTTTTTAATCGGAAAGCAAGTTTCGTCGATGCGTAAGGTGGTGAGTGCCGCCCGAGACTTCGCGAGACGCTGCCGCGTTTTTTTATATCGCTGATGTATAATTATATACTCCTCGTTTGACGGCTTAATTGGACGCATCTAACGAAACCGCCGTTGCGAAGTTAGCGGATTTATATAGGATGTTACACGCCCCGCAATTTACACGTTCGTGGAGAATATTTTATTAACGACGCCGATCATTAATACGCTCATCAGACAAATGCGGTGTTTTTCTTCTTGCAGGGAACTCAGATGCAGGAAGTAAGACAGGACGGTCAAGCGAGGAACTATCAGTCACAGGACGCCTACTCGTAATTATTTCATACTCATTTCACCTGAATTATGGCCTTTTTGTAAAGATGCAAGTTTCGTAAGGCCTGCATATCTGGTCTTCGAAGATTTCTAATTTTTTTCCTTTCCGTTCTCGTGCAATACTGACGCTACGATTGAATTAAATAAATTAAGATGAAATAAATTACTTCTTAATTATTGACGCCAATATTAATGAGCCTGCAGCTTTATTGTACTTGCAACGTGAATCATAACATATTAACGTCTTCGACGGAATTTAAATTTTCAATGTATTCTCGTCAGATCGGCGTCTAGCGGAGCGGTACCGAGAACGACGAAAATCGACGAGGAAAAGACAAAGTCACTCTCTAGAACTTATCACACGATTAAGGACATGATCTCGAGTCGTTTTGGCCCGAGTCGCAAGGACATCGAGCCAGAACCGGAAGCCAGTCTGAACAACGTCACAGAGGAATTGCGAAAGTCGAGCAGGAGTATTGACGACGATGAGACCAGGAAGAAGGAAGGAATTTACGGAAAACCACGCGCGCAAGAGCCATCGGTTAATGTGCAACAATATTCGAAGAATGCTTACGGTAAGTCGAACGTGACCGTGCAACTGTCGGGTAATTAGGTGCACTAAGGCGCGATGCTCAGCTAGGTGCCGTTAATTAGCTCATAAATGTTGATAAATTAATTTGAGGAAAGAACCTGTTGAGCGGAACGCTAAATGGCGAAATTGCATGTTTTATAAATATGAAGTGCAAGTGTGCATAGCCGGCGTGCATAGCAACGGGGCTTTCTGCTCTTTAAAGCGAAAACTCCATATTTAAAAAAATTAATAATTAATCTTTGAAAATCATTTTTATGAAAGGAATATCTTTATTGTTTATTAAATTTGTCTATATAAAGTGATATTAATTGTTGTGCAAATGGGGATAAATTTTTGTTGAGAATTAAATATTGTTATTTCTAATCTAAAAAAGAAATTGCGTGTTGTGTTCATAATTTTTAAATTATCTTTAAATAATATTGCTTAAATAATATTGCTTTAAATAATATTGCGGACAGTTCACAATCTGACACAGTTGACGATCAACAATTTGTAAACTTATCGGATGCATCTCCGATTTTTATTTAATAAACGACTTTTCTCGCTTCATCACTCGTTACTCATAACTTGTCGCTCACAACATGCACGCGATGCAAGACTTTCTTCCTTTTTGCGTGGCTGTTATTCGCGTTCGGTCGTTGTGCAAACCGGTAAACTGACAGCTCACGAGGACGAGAATCATACGTGCGATATCACCGCCATTATTTCGCGATCTATCGTAACTTTAATACATGAGTAATATCTCTACGTCTAATCGTTCACTCAAATCGAGATTAGTAGTCGATAGGTGAACGTCAAACTTTTACGAACGGATGTAAAATTAATGATGATTTGCCAGTTCTTAAGAATGTCGAATGAGAAACAGATATAACTTAAAGCCGTTTGAGAGAAAGAATAAACAGAGTTGATAAGAGAAAAAGTTACGTTTGTGTAAAATTATGAAATATTTAAAGGATGATATATTGAATATACTGAAGAAAATTGACCGTAAGATTTTATACAACTATTGTTTCTAATAATTGTTTTTAAGCAATTTTTTTCCTTAATATCTTGAATTTCATTGCGCTACATGAATTCTTATATTTTTTTAAATTCCTTTCTAATAGTTTCTATTTCTTTTAGAGCTTAAAACTTTGTAATTTCTATGACCGTAATAATAATATCTTCACGAAAGACGTATGTTTCAGGCGTGTTTGCACGCAAATAGAGAAGAAACTTTCCTTTTAATTAACTTTAGTAATGCACATTGCATATTCATACATTTTAGCATTTCTGATGGCGTTCAGAACGAACATAAGCATGTTCATGATGCAATATTTTAGTTACGCTACAATACTTCAATTGAAATATCAACTTAATATCTTTATATAATGCACGATGTATTTTCGATACACGTAAATTTAAACAATTTAAAAAACAATTGAAATGATATTTGAAAGAGAAAAATATTTTTTTCTATATATCATGCATACAACGGGTATTGGAATTAATCATCTGCACGTGATGGCACGTAATAGAAATAATATGAAATTTTTACTCTCGTTGTTCAGGTCAGTATGGCCACACGTACAGCTATCAAAGCAATCAGCAAAACGTACCGCTGCCAGGCCAACTGCAACCGACCACGACCATTCAGCCGAATTTGCCAGGACAGAGCGCTCAGCTTCACGTGACCCACCATACTCCGCCAGGAGGAATTCAAACAGTTCATCAAACTCAAGTTCCTGCTTTCGGCCAAACCGCGACAGGTGCGCAGCAGGTGCAAAATGTTACGAGGGAGTACATGGTTCAGACATCGGGCGGCATGACCAGCCAGCAAATGCATCAGGGAATCCATCAGAATCCCACGCAGGCACAGGTACATCTCGCAACACGAGAAATATTTACGATGATATCTAACTTCAGCACTCCTGAATAAATGATGCGCAAATTTGACTTAGCCGATCCTCAAGAAGCTGTTGAATATGTTATGTTTATATCTTTCGAAGACAGAGAAACCTCTTATAAATTGATAAATTCTACAAAATAAGAAAGAAGTAAAACACAATTGTTATAAACTAATTATTTGCACGAGTATTAAAACTGAAAAACTTATTAAAAGATGGAATTGATGAGTTTGGCTCTCGAGGAATTTTTGAAACTGTAATATAAATAAAAAAGATAAAAATATGTCGCAGATTTTTATTTAATTTTTTTAATTAATATTTTTCTAAATTAATATTATAGCGATATAGAATAAAATTTTTTTAAATTGCAATTTTGTAAGATTTGGAACAATGGAACTTTATAACACTGTTTCCTTTTTTGAAATTTTCCAGAAATTATTCAAATTCATTTCTTTTCATATTTGAATGTCTTTAAATAAAGATAATTCTATTTTCATAGAAATTATTTTTATAGAAATATAATTTATTTTAAACAATAAGTAATAATAATGGGCAATGCTCTTGTTACTACTTGTTGAATTGTTTATAATTTATTTTATTTAAATTTTTATTGTAATAGTAAATTTAGCCTCAAATTGCTTTTTAATACAATTTTTTTAGTAAAAGATACACACACACACACACACACACACACACACACACACACACACACACACACACACATATATATATATTTGTTTAAATAAAATGGAGAATATATCGCGTGTTGATGCATATTGTTGGCATTCTTACGCGGATGCGGATATTTGTTGCGTGCAGGAAACGGAGTCTCGCCAGCGGATGAAAAAAAATGTATCTCATATCTTGTCATATGTCGCTTCATATAGTGACATCTCCTTCATATAAATTTAGATAAAGTATAACATAGTCATCCAACCAATCATGTCTTATACAAAAGCGACTGCAAACAGAACGTTAAACAGGGTAATGCGATACACGAGTGATAACATAATATAACGTAGCGTGACAGCTCGCAGAAACGTTTTCGTCTGCGTATAATGATTGATACTTGCCTAGCCGCTCGCTAACATTTTAGTTTGTTAAATAACGGTTGGTGTAATGATGATGAGCGCGTGTAACACGGCACTATGTTAAATCACCGACGAACAGCGCGCGGTATATTCATAATGATGCATCTTAACAACTTTCTATACGGTTGCGCATACATGCTGTTAGTGGGAAAACTTTATAAAGAGGTCTGTAAAATTTACATAACCACGTTGAAAATTGGACTAGATTACATTTTTTTATAATGCGATCCGCGTAGTGACGACAATAATTGGTTGCCGCACGAGTTGTGTTACGACTGACTTAGATTAAAAAAAAAAAAAGAAAAAAATTTTAAACACAAAAGAGCGATATATAAGTAAACTTTACAAATTCTCCTTTATATGGAATATTATTTATAATAAAAACTATTAAAATAATAACTGTTTAAATATTTTCACTTTTTAAAATACAAATGTAAGCGTGTAAATTATTATTAATAGTATATTATTGTTAATAGAAATTCAGTTGAATAGAAACAGAATGTTGCAAGTGTAAGAATACTTATTAAATAAATATTCCTTTTAAAAAAAAAAAAAGCTCGTAATTATTAAACTTTGAGAATGAGTAAACTTGCTGTATAGGTATGCAGGTTTCTAAAGGATAATTAAAGCTTAACGAAACAGAGTTCCAATACGTTAGCGGTTCTACAAAAAGCAGACAGGCATTCGCGACTTAACGGTAGCTTATTGTTAACGAGCCGGTTGGTTGGTTCAGGGGCAGGGCACGCAAGTGCAAAAACCACACGGTCTATCCGTGCAGCAGCATCAAGTGGGCAGTGCGATGCCGCCGACGAGTCCGAGCTTCCAGAGTCCGCAGCAGTTGCTCCATCAGAACCAGAATCATCATCAGAGTCCGCGGTTCGCCCAGCAGCACGCCCAGAACATGCATCAGCGTCAGCAGCTGATCCAGCAGATGCACCAGCAGCAAATGGCCGGTCAGCAGAGCTCGCAAACGCCGAACGCGCGCAACATGCAGCAATCGTATTTTCCCAACAGCGTGTCTTATCAGCAATATCAACAGGCGCGACAAGCCATGTCGAGGTCGCAGATCGATCTTCCGAGCACGTCCAGACAGGCGCAGGAGCTCCGGGTTTCGGGTCAGGAGGTTTACTATCATTACGCCCAAGGAAGACCTCGTTACGGCGTTCCCCAGGTGTACATGAAGACGGAGAGCAATCAGGAAACGGAATTTCAGAGGCGGAATTCCGCGAAGGGTATCGAGAAAGCGGCTTCGCAGCCGCAGCTCTGTTACGAGGACGAGCGTAATGCTGAGGTTTCAAAAAACCCCACGGAGAATATGAAGAACTTGACGGTAGATCCACTGGATAAAGAGAGGTAAGACTTTTAAAACATTTCGCGTACCATCTCTGTAGCTTTAGCAAATATAATTCTAACGGAAAGGTATTAAAATATTTGATAGAGTTTTTTTTTAAAATTGTGCTATACGTTTTAGATACGAGATCACAGTGGAAGATCGAAGTCAAGGTGAACACGGAAGAAACGGGTTACAAAGAAATGAGGAGTACCGTCCGGAAACCAGTTTCGGTATTCGAAGAGACGAGACGCGGACCTCGAAGAGGGAACAGGAACATGGATCATCGAGTCAAGAGGGAGGTCAGGATCAGACGGAGGGGAATTCCGTGCAGAAGAGGATCGAGGAATTGCAGAAGAGAGCGGAGCAGGATGGCCATTTCAACATCAAGCTATCAAAAGACGACGCGGATGGCTTGAGGGTCGGTCTGGCCACGAAGATGATCGGCGAAGCATCGAAAAAGCTCGATGGTGGACAATATAGCGGAAAAGAGCCTGCAGTGAAATCAGATAGCAGGAAAGACGATCTGGAGCAGGGTATCAGTCGATTGAAGATCCAGAATCAAGGCTCGGGCTCGGATTACGACAAGGCCGGTCAGAGTTCTTCGAATGTCGATTCCGGAAGAGGCTCCGCAGTCTATTCGAGCGGAAGACGTCCGCCGCCTGATGATCAAACTTTAGCGCAAGGTAAGAATCGACTTTTTAATTTTACCTTGAATTTTTATTATATATATATATATATAAAATTGCTATTCTGATTTTTGTTTATTTTTTAGCGATTTTTTATAAAAAAATTAATCGATTTATATATTTTATTTTAATGATAAATGAAAATTATAATAAAAAAGAAATATATAATAAATTCTTTAATAATATTCTAACAATAATCTTCTAATAATTTTGTAAAAATTATTATCCTCTAAGAAAGAAGTTATAATTCTCCTTTTCTTGTAAAGTATTATTTTTCTTACTTGTTCAGAGAAAGATAGTTGTATTTAGTCTTATTGTACCTTCCTTCGTATTTATTTTCTTGTTAGATCTGCAACTACTTAGTTATTTTTATTTCTTTTTTGAAAACTTTTTTAAAAGTATCGATCGCTCTGTCGGAGTCTGTGGTTTTCTATCTCCTTGTTTCCCTTTCACAGTACAAGACTCCGAATGGGTGGACATAGTGGAGTCAGAGTTGAGAAGTATTTTGGAGCCCAGGGACGTTCCAGCGATGGCGCACTCTACTCTGTCCGAAAGTGTATCCTCAGTAACACCGCCTCTACCGCCGCTGTCACCCCATGACAGCCCACGTACACCAAGAAATCGATACTCAACGAGGTAACCCGACTTCAAACAGGTCCCTCTTCTTCGTGCAACCGGTGTTACTTCCGGTCACCGCCTCGAGTCACTTCCGATTCTATTACCTTCGTCACGTATCGAAATTCCGATATCGGTGTCTGGTCGAAAAGTGGTCTCTACGATGTTAAAAATAAACGCTACTCCGTTGCAACGTTTAAATTCTTAGTCACACGAGACTTGAATGCAAAATATTGATTCGGTGTAATGTTAATCCTTAATTATTTTTTTTACTTATTTACATATAGATAATCTCAGGCAATATTTCTAATGATTTATTTTTATAAAGCAATTTTTAATTGCAAAAGAGTCTAGTTCGCGTAACGTCTTGTTTCAAGTATTCTTGTGATATTCATAAAAACATTCATTGTTTTAGTTTACCCTACGGATCAAAACCAAATTATAATGATTACGGCAAGGCTATGGAAAAGAGAGGTTTCTCGAGCAGCGCAAAACATCGTGGTGCTTCAACGTCCAAGAAAGAAGCCGCGAAAAAGTTTTCTCATCGTGAGTATTATTTTATAAACATATTATTACAAATCTGTTCTTCAAACGTAACAATTTTTTATATTAATCTAATATTTTTTACGAACAAATATATGAAATATATATTACTTCCATACAGAAGAAATATAATGATTATTTAAAATTAATTATTGTAAATAAATAATAAATATTACTAATAAAAAATTAAAAATTGAATTTTTTTATTCAAACTCATATGTTTGCAAAACGGCTAATAAGTAGCTAGTTTTTACGTTGATTTTTTTTAATTTATTAATTTTGTATCGTAACATACATTTTTCAGTTTTTGGCGTAGAAGCCGCTGATTTAACATCTACTACGACAGGGCTTGATTTGGATTCCATGTTAGACAGAAGCGACTCTGATCTCAGTACCACCGACGCAAGAACCATCAGAAAACAATTGGAAGGATTAGAAAATATGTATAGCGAGGTAAGTACGATATTAACAAAATTATTTATTTTTTATTGTTGGTTTCTTCCACGAAAATAAGATCGTATTAAAATAAAGAAGAAAAGCTGTGTTAAGTATAAAAACATTTTCTTATTATTTCATTTATTAATAGATAAAATATAATTATGAAAACTATAAGTAGAGACAAGATGCGCGCGCGCGCGCGATACTTAACATTTATTTTACATATAAATTAAGAAACATTAGACATCATTTTTTCTACGGAAGAATAGCGTTATATGCTGAAATTAACGAGGACATTGTACGCTGGAAAGTACTCAGGATGGTACGAGCGTAATTGAATTTATTTTAATTTGCATGCAAAAATATTGTCGCAGGTACTTAAATTGCTCGGCGGAAGTGTGAAAAAGAGGCGGAAGGCAAGAGGGCTCACTAGTTATGGTTCAGTTTCGTCGTTGCCAACATCCTCTGTTTCATCGAGGCCAGTTACGAGGCATCATGACAAACGTAGGTCCCACGTGATAGATGACAGGATGAAGAAAGCCAAAGATATCAAGGTAAATGTTAATTAATTTAATAATTACTAATGCTTATTAATATTTTAATTTTCTAATATAACACTTTCTATTTAAATTTTTGATAAAAGAATTTAAAATTTTGAAAATATTATTTCTTACCAATGTTACTAAATGAATATCTTATAACAAGAAATTATTAATCTTTTTATAAGTTATTATTATTATAAAATTGTTATAAAATATATTTTTTATTTTTGTTTAGAGCATCAATAAACGTTTTCAGCGACTGGAGTCGCATGTAGTGACACTAGCCAGATCAGTCGCCCATCTGAGTTCAGAGATGAGGACTCAGCACTTGATGATACAGGTGAGAGAACTTGTTAACAACAATTACGGTATTAAATGAGCTGGAATTTCCAAGACTCTACTACTATCAGGTTTTCGCAGGAAATGGAGAGTATAAAATGCGAGATTGCCACACTGCGAACGCAAACGAGCATGGCAATGGTGAGGTCACAGTCGCAGCCCCTGATCAAGGATTCGGAACTGCCGGCACTTTCGAATCCCTCGAGAGTAAAGAAACTGACCAAATTCTTCGGCACGGAGCCACCTCTCATCAGACTGTTCCTGAGGGAACTTGGGTATGAGGTATGGGTGCCACAGTTCATTATTTAATGCGAGATTTTAGAGACAAACGAAATCGCTTGAAATCGCTTTTTCCTAGGCAGAAATATCGATGCATTCTTTTGAATTATAAATGCTTTAAGCGGAGGAAACTTTAGATTCTAGATTATATTCCGTTTGCGATTCTAGAAATACGCGGCCGCTTTCGAGAAAGAAAAAGTCGGGATGGTGGAGCTGCCTTATCTGAGCGAGGAGAGACTGCAAAAGATGGGAGTTCCTTTGGGTCCAAGGTTGAGGATCCTTCAAGAAGCACGGATTTCGGTATGCAAGGATCCGATTTACGTAGTATAAAATCTCCATAAAATGGCACAAACGTCCTAACACGCAAATAGAAAGAAGAAAAAAATCTGAGAATAAAAATGAAGAACGAAGATTTAACGGAGAATATTCGTTTCGCGTTGTCGAACGCGTTAGAACGTTCCTCGAGACGTTCCTCGTAAACGAACCCTTGAGCTCGAAAACGGTCTGTTTGAGCGACGGCTCTTTTCCCCGTTTCAATCAATGGCCATCTGAAAGCTCTACGCCCGTTGAAACGCTGAAATTGTTTCGCAACGTCTTTGAGTCGACAGATTTGTTCTGTCGTGCGTTCGCTGCTGCACATTAATTTTAACAGAAAGAGACCCGATGGCGCATATAGACAATTCGTATAAAGTGGCTGTTCAATCAATACGAGAGCACTTTTGCTGGTGTAATTTGAAGAACTAATTTCTCAATGTATATTTGCGTATTCAAGTAAATAAAAACTTAATATGGGACCGTTATGAGCACAAAAAGTTAAAGTATCTAAAAATAATATTTTTCAAATAATATATTATTTACTGTTATATTGGAAAAATTTATAAATTTTTATAACAATACTGTAGTTTTCATAGGTATAGACTCCTAGTAAATACCAACTAACATGTAACGTAACTATTAGTTATAATTTCCTGTTGATTAATATAACTGTTATATAACTTAATATAACTTAAAGTTATGCAACAGTTATATGAATGGACAGGAAATTATAACTAACAGTTACGTTACGTGTTAATTAGTATTTACTGGGTTGTGTTTTCAAATGAATATTTCGAAGATGTGTCAGATATCGATTGCTTCTGCTAATTTAGAACATATTTGTTTCAAATATATTTATTTGACACAGATATAGTAATTCTTGGAATATTTCGCATTTCCTCATTATCGTAAATCGATAATGCATTTCTTCGAATATTGCGAAATAACTTGATTACGGAAGCCAAAGCATATGCTGGGATTTAAAAAATGGTGACTTAGAATTTAAAAAAATATCGAAACGATATCACGAGCTTTATGCTATTTACAAGAAATTCATGTTATTTACAGCATTATTCTTAGAATAAAATGAATTGAAAATTTGATGGTTTATACAATGGGGCTAATCAAAATGTAAATACAATACTGCTGATACTATCGGTAGTCAGGAGAGACGTGTATCGTTATTGTACTTACACGAGAAGAGACGAGAGTAGATATACAAAGACGATCCGACCCGCGAGGATCTAGATTATTCTTCTCATATCGTATCGTTCGCTAAATGAAGTTACTACGTAGACTTAGATTATGCGTGCGCAGAACTGAACGCCGATGCTATGACTGTACCGTGTGCGATAATTCGTGGCGCTGATAAAATCGGCGATTAGACTCGAGAAGAGCCGCGCACATTGGGAACAACGAATCTCACAGAAATATGTTTGCCAAAGAGACGTACACGGACATCGTCGAAATGGCAATGGCCGATTTTTCTATCGTATTTTTTCAGTATAGAGTTTTTTTCTTCTCTATTATACATTTCAGTATAATAGAATGTATTTATTAATGCTTTTTTTTTCTGGATATTTTTGAATATCGATATCTTCAATTAGTCTGTTGCGAAAGCCAATATCTCATTCCGTAGGAATGCTCTATTTTCCGCTAACACTCTGGGATATATTATATAAACGTAAAATTAAATGTAACTTGTAAAACATGAAACGAGATTTATTTTGCGAGAATGTTTCTGACCTTGTTATCACTAAATTGTTACAAAAATACATATCGAAGTATTCTATCGATTAGTATTAACGGATATTTCGCAAATCGCTTTTCTTGAAATAGACATAATTTATATGAGACAATTAGATGTAGCCAATAGGCTTGAGGTGCTTTTTGATATATTCCTGCCCGCTTTTACTCTTTGAAATTTTGGTTGCATGGCAGCATGCGCCGCGTTATGTCGATACCAAAGAATCGATACCTGTTCCCTTGTCGCGACGACGACAACGACAACGATAATCGCTGCTTGTGACCGCGGGTCACAGGAACGAGAAGGCACGCCACTTTGATAACTCGAATAAAAGAACTCCGTATTCTCATTCGAGAATATATAGATTGTAGATGTAGAGCTATTAATTGATAATATATATTATTAATGCATCATTCATAAATCTGATTATGTGCGATTGTATTTCCAACAATTAGCTCTGATCAATATAATTAAGAATGGTAGACAAATGGTAGACAAGTTTCTAGCTGGTGCTACGTGTCTCGATTTTCTCCTCTGTCACATTAACTATTGTACAGTCTAATTAGTTTTCTATAAATGTTTCTATTATTAATATTATTAATATTATTTTTATTTTTTAATATTTGTATTATTATTAATATAATAATGATAATTATTGTATCACATGTTTTGTTAAATCTTGTATTTAATAAATGATATTGCAAGTGAAACTCTTCGGGGGATTTATTTTATATATCGATAAATTTTCATTTGATGCGTGATGTTAAACAGCTTGCAAAACCGCTTTAACAGCGTAATACCTGAAAATACCAGAATTGATGGAACGTTTACACACAGTACTGTTCTCTATTTTACTTAGAGTTGCTGTTTGTTAGCAGAAACAGCATTAATAATTACTGAATTACGATCGAAAATTAATGTATCTAAAACAAATGTGCATACGTCACATCTATACGGCAACTGGTACGAGTCATCAATGGTAACATCGTAATTCTCGCACGAAGCCGCTCGTGCTCGTGCGCGTTTAGCGAAAATTCGTGCGGTTTATTGCGGCGCGTTTTCTGAAACTTTCTGCCGTGGCCGATTCCTATGTGAATCGAGCGACTCATCCAATTGAATAATTGCGCATTAACTGTTACAACGTATGCCGCACGGGTCGGACCAAGTGATCTGTTATTATGGCCTCTGACCTCGGTCTGCGCCACGCCGAGCCGCGCCGGTAATCAGCGCTCCGGACGATAATTATTTCATTTATAGTTAGCCTCGATCGATCATAACGAGAACCGGAAGTGTCTTCTTACGCGCAACAGGATTTTTAATTACCGTGAACCACGTGCGCGTCCGACGACGATTATTAATCGTCGTGCTAATCGTCGCGCTAATCGTCGCGTTAACCGCTCAATTTCTCATGGCGGAAACGCCTCGACGAGAGCGAATCCGCAAAAGTGGGATGACGATGCATTTCGGTGAAGTTTCAGAGATAGCTCGTGTCGCGTCGTAAGTAATATTCCTACGTGAATGTAAGTCGATGAGCTCTTTTTTATTCTTGTAACTAGGTGAAACGTTATATATTTATTGTTTACCGCTTGCAGATGTATTGATCCTCATGTTGGCACATTAAATGAATTAATTGTTTGAAATTTAATTTGAAATTCAACTTTTATGTCTAAAAGTAGATGAAGATTTTGCGATATTAATATCAATTTCAATTGGAGCGAATTAAACTGTTTGAATTGAAACGATATTTTTGATTGTAAATTCGTATAAATTTGAAATCTTTTTTTTAATTTAATATTAAGATGAGCGAAGCCTTGGTGTGGCTTTCACAACATTTATTAATTATTTTAATGTGTACTAGGATATTACTTTGCAATCAAACAATAAGTAAAATTAAGGTGTTATTCCCACGTCTTGGCGCCGCAAATCTAATCTAACACGGTTGCTCACCCAGTGGCTTGTATACCCCAATTCGACTCTGTATAAGCCACGAATATAATTATCGCAGGCGCCGCGGGTAGATGTTACGGTATGAAGATAAATGGAACTGATATCGTTAATATCCCCTGCCGGCAAACGAATTTATAAGCGCGAGAAGCGAGATTAAAGGGGACAATTGTCTAATGGATGTTGACTGAATGAGAATCGTTAGATCGGCAAACTTTGACAGTCGGTTGAATAATACTTCCGATTATATCCGGCGAATGACCCACATTCCTTCTTTCTTTCGCCGAAGATAAAAAGGATCAAACCGATTGAGTCTAAAGCGGTCTAAAGGGACCGCGATGGATTCGAATGAGCTCACACGTCGTCGCTTGGCGCGTACTGTAAATTTCGACAGAATCGACGGCGAGACCGTCTTCCGGCCACTTTTATCAGGAAATGCACAATTTAACAATTGTGGCCAATTATTTTTCTAGCGGTCTCGTCTTTGATTGAGGCCGCGCCACATTGTGGACCTTTACATAGCTCCGCGTGTCACTGTGCATGCCTAAACGAACGATCGTGTTGTGTGTCGAATTCTCATATTATGTTTATTCATCAAACGATCTTTGGCTTGTAGGCTGAATCACAAGAACATAATATTAATATTTTTAGTGGCAAAATACTCTGTGACTTGTCATTGCTGATAAATGTAGGTAGATATAAATGTTAATTTATAACTTCATTTCATGGTTACAATATATTTGATAAATATTGTTTCTTGCATGCAATAAAAAGTATATTTTATATATCCGGTATATATATTTTTAAAACATCTGATATTATTTTATATTAAATTAATAATATTAATTTAATATAAAATGATAATGATATTAAATTAATAATATACTTTTAATTATAAAAGAGATTTAGTTATAAAAGAGGACACTCTTTTACATCAAAAAGTTGCCGAAAATTTATTATTAATTTAATATTTTATTATGATATATAAAACTTTAAATTAATTCCCACAAATAAATCACTTCATAAATGCCAAGGTTAAAACGCGTGCGATCAATTTACATTCTAAGGATTCTAAGGATTTTATATTCAGAATCTCTCAAATATGAACACATTTTGCTTGAAATATTCAGCATCGTGACGTCTAGTATAAAAATGGATTTAATTTTTAAATACACAGGACAAAGATATTATTCCACTTCTTTCGTACTCATTTATTATAACAACGTTACTTCGATTATAATTTTATCTTTTAATAATATTATTTGTAATTAAGTGAAATAATTATAGTATATTAATTTTTTTCTGTACCTTTTTCTAATCAATAAATTTTATAGCAATTTATAATTATTTTTAATTATTATTAATAAAAAGTAATGAATATCAAATATATTATTTTCAAAATTGTGTACTTTAAATCTAATTAAAAATTGTAATTATATTAATTAACTGATTAATATTATATTAATTAACTGATTAATTATAATGATATTTTTATAAGGCTATTTAATTATCATTGAATAGGTATAATAGAAGATACTATTATTGATATGATTATATCAATTTATTTCATTAAATTATTAATTGACGAATTATAATTATTGCAGACACATAGAATTTGAGAACAACAATCATTTCACCAATTTAATTTGGAACATGAAACAACACTCTTGCTCTTGCTCATTCCACAGCTTCCATTTGAGATCATATGTTCGCTGTAAATAAAAAAAAAAACAAAAATTTTCTTTTAAGTAATATTTTTAAATCAACTTGTTTCTCTTATAACAAGCAATGTTTGTAAATCTTTTTTTTGTATTGAAATTGCATCTCAGATTCATAACTTCCCATATTGCTTTACAATTTTAATATTTAATTAGATTTCAATGCAACAAGTTACAAATATGGGATGGCAACAAATTATAGAAAAGCTTACAAAAGATCAAAATAGATATTGAAGCATCACTTACAGCAGGGAATTTCTTAGAGATGTGCAATATTACAGAATATATTTGCCTTTGGCCAGGCGAAGCTGGGCAAACAGTGGATGTGCATGCATCAAGTGGCATGCCCAAGAATGGCAAATCCACGAGTTCAGAAGCCCAATATGCTCTGCTGGATAACGCATTCCCACTAAAATCTAAAATAAAATATATAATATGAATAAATATAGTGTATGTTATATATCGAGTTCTAAAATCAATATTTCTTGATAAAGAAAAAAATATCTTTTTATCTAAAAAATTAAAATAAAAACATAAATTAAAAATTTATTTTAATAAATTTTACTTAAATAACTTTTCATTTTTATTGCGATGTGTTTGCATAATATTTTAGAATATCGGCTTATAAACATATTAGTATATCATTATTTCTTATTAATAATAATTTGTCAAAAATTATTCTTTCTAGAGATTTATTATTTCTAGAGAATAATTTTATTAATAATATTTGTTAACGATTACTTATTACATCTTATTTTCCAACTTTTTACATAAATGCATTAAAATTAATACAATATACATGATTGTAATATAATACAGATAAAATGTGATCAATTTCTTTATTTTCAAATAAAAATCAAAGGTATCTGCAGTTTTGTGATACATCTTTTATTAATATAATGTATGAAAGTCTCATATATATACACACACTCATATACATAGATATATACTTTGGATATACTTACCAGCGGTATAATCAAAACTTATACTCGCATTACGACCTCTTTTTAAGGAACAAGGCTTTCTTTCTTCGGCTTCTCTGCATGGATCTACACGTACTTCATGTATGATACATTGTACAATGCGTTCTTCGGCTAAAACATAAGTAACAAGATTTACTTAAAGTTGTAAATATTTTCAAATAAAACAAAAAGAAAGAAAAAACAGAAAGAGAGAGAGAGAGAGAGAGAGAGAGAGAGAGAGAGAGGAGAAGGAGAGACAGATTAAAATTTAATGTCAGTTAAAAAATTATATCATCTATATTGGTTTCCTAATTAGTAATTATTCATTCAAAAAATGTATATTATTATTTAATGCAGAGTATTTGCTATTCTAATTATTTTTTATTTGTTATTTATTATTTTATATTTTATTTTTTATCTATTTATTAATATATATATTTATTTATATATATGCTATTTATTTATGTGTATTAATTAATCGACCTTTATGTGTATTAATTAATCGATATGTGTATTATTAATCAGTTAAAAATAAAAGCTTATTTATATAATTCTAATTTACATAATGTTGTATAAGAGAAACATTTTCTTGCGTAACATTTCTTACGCGATAAATAGACAACATTATGTTTACTTACAAATTATCTGTGTAATTAATTCCTAAGAATTTCGTTTTTCTTTCGTACAAGAAATAACGAGATAAGCAGAAAATTCAGCAAAATAGAGACAAAGAAATACGCGTGCAATAACGCTGCACGTGTCATTCACGGCTGTAATCTCAACAAATTGACGTAAGCTAATTCGAAACTTTAAAGTTTCTGTGACAAGGCAAACATTTTAATTTTTTCCTCATATCTTCTAGTAAGATTACATACTTTAATCTATTTTTTACAAATAACTTGATTATGAATTACAACATACAGATTGCATTGAGAAAATTCTTATGAATATCTGACGAATACGCTAAAAAATTTATAAAAACCTTATCTCATACAACATATCACGTTTATGTCAAAGTCTTATCACTTATTAATTCAATAGATTTTTCTTTGGAAGACATTCTTTTTTAGTTATGAGGAAACTTATCTCTCTCCCTTTCTCTATTCTTCTTTACAAATAATAAATTTGACTCGACGCTACTTTCGTTTACAACAATTTTTTCTCAAATCAAACATTTATCAAGGAATTTTGATATGCAATGTTTAATTCCATTCACTTCGCTATGACAAATTAAAGAAATATTTTTCTTTAAACTATCTTATTTATTTTCATATGTATTTTAAATTTTGTTTCAGTTAAATAATATTTTAATAAAATAGAATTTTAGAGTAGAATTTTTATAAATTAAATTTTAATCAAGTGTACCATGTAATAAGTGAATAATCAAATTTATATTAATAAATTTGAAAGAAGTACCAAGTACATTTTGAGCTTTCCATCCTTCGAACGTGTCGAATTCGATGACATTATATTAATTGGGAATTTATAGTATTGGCTTATTACATCCTTATCATAGATATACGTACACAATTAATTTTCTATATAATTTAGAAACTTGCTATTTTCATATCTTTTGCAAAGATCGCGAAATAAAAATTCAAAAGTTTGTGAGACTCGTGATTCGATATCTTACTAAAAAAGAAAAGATTCATAATGTATGATTTTGTCCTATAGAAGCTTTGTAATTTACATGCCTGGAAAATAAAAAAGAAAGATAAAGATGATGCTATTTTAGTCTAGTAGTCTCTTCTTTGTTTGCATAGAAAGAAGCATTATTGCTTCAATCTCAGTCTTTTCTTCTTTGCTAGCCACACGTTTATGGGTCATTTATGTAGCTATGCTAACTGCAACGATGTTTATCATTCTTTAATAAGAAAAATATATTGTTTAAATAAAAATCTTATAATGAATAATTTACTATTATTATTATTTATTATTATTCAAAATTTCTATAGAGATTTAAAGATTTAAAAGATTTCGAATATTGTCGTAGGGAAAACCCTAGGTTATTTAAAAAATTGATCTTGAATGAAAAAAATGATCTTAAATTTAATCAAATCAATTATGTACAATTTCTTTGAGAATATTTAAGTATTAATCATCTTTGAAGACGCTAATCCTAAAATAAATATTATTTATTTATCAATTTACAATTTATTTTAAAGTATAAAATAAAATAAAAATAAATTAACATAGATAATAAACTTTTTAATTTTTATAACTAAATCTTATAAGAGTTAGTCTCTTAATTATTGCAAACATATATTATATATATATATATATATATATA